GTGTGATCTTCAACAATCTGAGATTCTATTTATTTAGACTAGTTTATGAATCTGTGTTTCAACTTTGATTAATTTATTAGATCAGAGTGCAACCTGGTTTTTTTCTGGTGAAACTAGCTTTTCATGTCAACATGCACCTGGTGTTGTCTGTTGACTGGTAATATGTGAGAGAGTATGGTTTTACACCACTTTTAGCAATATTCCAGTAATATCACAGAGGGGACATCAGAAATGTTTGTTTGTTTGTTGTTTAACGCCGCACTCAGCAATATTCCAGCTATATGATGGCAGTCTGTAAATAATCGAGACTGGACCAGACAATCCAGTGATTGATAACATGAGCATCGATCTACGCAATTGGGATCGATGACATGCATCAACCAAGTCAACGAGTCTGACCACCCGATCCCGTTAGTCGCCTCTTACGACAAGCATAGTCGCCTTTCACGGCAAGTATGGGTTGCTGAAGACCTATTCTACCCCGGATCTTCATGGGCCGACACCAGAAATGGGCTTCACACACATTGTACTCAGTGTGACAAGCTTTAGCCACTAGGCTACCCTACAGCCCTCACTGATGAATGAAGTAGCTGTGAATTCCAAGCCTTGAGGACCAGCACAATTAATGTGAAGGGCCTTGTCCTCCAGTGATGACACTCCCTGGATGGTTAGATCATCCATATGTGCTGTGGTCGAGGCATCCATGTACAGGTGATGTACTGGGGCAGGAAACATGAAAGGAATACCTGGCATTACTTTGTGGTAGGAGAGCCTCCGATTCAGATCTAGGAGTCTGGATGCTGCAAGTTGTATAATCTCATCCAGATCGAGAACTCTTGAGGTGTTCATCCAGTTCTGCACAGAATAGCCTTCCTCTGTAGGAATGGTCCTGCATTGATGTAAGGATTCCAAGGCAGACCATCCCCATTCGGTGAGTTTTGTTGGGCAGATATAATGCCTGTGTTATCATGTCTGTCACCTTGATGAACCTGTCCTGTGAAGGAGCCATGGTGCTTCTGTGTAGATTAAATCTTCCTCCTATGTAAACAATGTCCTGGACTCGTTTAAATTCCAACTCGGTTGGATGTACCAAAATTTCCAGGTGCAAGAGTAACTACCATAAAGATGGTATCCTGTTGGAGTTGCTGTTTGTCCTGGCTTGCTGACAGAAAATCATTTATGTAGCCTTATAATCTGACTAGACATGGGAACATCTGATGACGGGGTTGTTATCCTCGTGAATAGCCATGGTGTTATAGAGATGACGGAGATGGAAAAGGATCTTGTATCCTTATTTCACAGCCAGCAGTCGACGTTACCAACATCTAATTGTCATCGTATGTAGAGAGACGTCCTCCTACTGGTCCCAGAGTTGGCGGTGCAAACATTATTGGACTGCGCTTTCATGACCCGACTTTCCTGTACTGTAGCTCCTTGGAGCTAGACTTCTTAGATCTAGTCCTCAGACTTTTGAAATGAGAAGATCCTCCGATAATCCAACCACTCAGTGAGTGAGTGAGTTGGTTTTTAACACCGTTTTCAACAGTATTGCAGTTATATCACGGCATGTCCGCTTAATGTTGGAGGAAAGTCTCAGATGTTTACCACTTCGGTGAAACCTACGAGCACGGATATGGTGCTGGCAAACCTTGAAACATAATCGCGGCGAACCAGGATTCGAACCCACAATCATAGGTTTCTGGCATGCCCAAGGGACGCAACTCTGCACAGCGAATCGCGGCGCCTTAGACAACTGGGCCACCCGTGCCTCCCCCTCAGTGAAGGAAACGCACAGATCACATCTTGCATTGCACGTGATAAATGGCCACTTGAAACACACAGTATGAGGATCCAGGAACTTAAACACAAACTCTACTTGCGTGAATGATCTTGCAAGATGAGTCTTAACAAAACAACCTTGCGCTATGATCGTATGGGAGTTACAATCACCTTAGTGCTAAGATCGCTTGGTACAACGGCACTCAGAAATTTAACTGTGAAAAAGCTTTAGACGTGAAATCAGTGTAAAGATAAACTAAATTGGGACTTGGAAAAACGTTTTCCTTGTTGACCCAAGCTCACACAGAAAAGAAGTGACATATTCCCGCCCAGCGCTTGCGCAGTAGATCAGATTTGATACTGTTTCCCACACAACTACTAATTAGATAACTGGCAGTGATTTTTATTGAGTACAAACAGCCACAGGCTACGATGTAATGGAGATATGGAATTATATGCTGCCTGGTTGTGTATTTGGTTAAAAGAAACAGCCTGTGAGCATGGACATTTTGAACAGAATACATTCAAACTCTTAATTATGAAATATATATACATCTTCTTCAGCTCGTTGGTGTAATTAGGACACGATTATTTAAACAGTAAATAAACATTATATATTACTACTTTTGTTTGTTGTTTAATGCCGCACCAACAATATTCCAGCTACCATATTTTCTTGAGTATAGTGCACACTTTCTTCCAAAAAACAGCTGTATATGACGGCAGTCTGTAAATAATCGAGTCTGGGTCAGACAATCCAGTGATTGACATCGTGAGCATCGATCTACGTAATTGGGATACAATGACATGCATCTACCACGTCAGCGAGCCTGACCACCCAATTCCATTAGTCGCCTCTTACGACAAGCATGGGTTGCTGAAGACCTATTCCACCCCGGATCTATAATACTACTAATGCAACATTGAGATATTAGTTAGGAGATAAACATACTGTGTTTTCAATGTAGAGCTGGTTACCTGTAGATTTAACCGTGCTAAATTTAATATTTGAAACCTCACGCTGCGCGTTCGGTTCCAATTTCAATTAAGCGTGGTTAAATCTACAGGTAACCTAGCTCTACATTGAAAACACAGTATGTTTATCTCCACTCTAACATGACTAAATAAAACGCGAACTCTTTGGTGTTAGGAAATATACTGAGTGAAGCGTCATCCAGTGAGTCCAGTGTTTTGAGAGGGTTATCGATCTGAATTACGGAATCACCAAACAAAATATGGCGCTGTATATAATCAAGCAGTTTGTTTACACGGTCATACTTTACTCGAACAAATGACAGGCATCGAAAGCATATAAGCACGGCAACTTGATGAGCTAACATGAGGTGGGCATCCCAAAAGAAAACCAAGCAAGCTTTGCAAGGTTTTCGCTCTACATCGCACGTCACCATTATGACGTCATATCGCTCATTGTGACACAAAAGAAATGACGTCACAGTCATACATAGAAAAGCACCAAAATTCCAAGCTCTCTCTTGACTCCAAAACGTAAATACATTTCCTTTGTAGATTTCTATCGTGTTTTCTGCACATAATGTATTGCCACACATCCTTTGAATATTGTAGTAACTGCATCTGTGCATTTTGTAACCTGTAATTGTAGATATAATTATTCAAATATGCCTATCGACAATGACTGAAAATAGTACTATTCTATGAATATTAGCTTCAGTCAGAAGATATCCTTTTCTGGTGTACTTTGAATTACATTGTAGTAGCTTTCGATAACCTTTGGCAAGGAGTCTATTCTGAACTGTCTGTAGGAAACCCATTTCTCCAGCCAAGTGTCTTCTCTTGTGGTCTTCTTGTTGTCTGGCCAGATTAGTAGTATCTTTGAAATGACACACAATGAATATTGTATTGTGTGCTACAGCCGTTTGGTCCTAACCCATGCACCATTCCTATAACCTGAGCATTAATCATGTTCATACTGAAATTAACAACTCTTGTTGCCATTAGTAAAGCACTTTGAATGCAGGCAAACTGTTTTAGTGGGGGTCCAAAACAAGGTTATGATGAAAGTATTTGCTCATCTCACAGAAAACTGCACATTTTGTGTCCCTGCTATGGAGGGAATAATGCAAACTGTGGTGAAAAGTCAGCCTTTAACAATGAGTGGTGTTCTCCCAAGAATTACAATATCACTCCATATCATTACACTTCCATTCCTCCAACACTGATGATGCTAGTAACGCACACATCGCTAAAACCTTCTGGTGAAACCTAAACTAATCTGGGAACAGTATATTGTCCCAGTCTTGTACCTGAACCTCAGATGCTGTCTACACTATTTTGACTCAAAACAGGAATTGTCCAAGCTGTTAATGTCACAGTTTGGTATCAATTTTGAGATGCACCAGCCGAACATGGTCGTCTTGTTCATGTGACATCTCCTGTGGAGAACTCGCCCGTGGCTCACGAGTGTTGCCCTGCTGTAGAAGGAGGTTGTCACACCCAGTAGATTTTCAGCAAGCCATGACATTGCGCATGCGTTACTTATGGTTACGCAAACATGTTTGTTTAGCTATCAGGTGCTCATAAAATCATTATGTGCTGTTCACATGTGTGAATATCATGCTCCCAACAAACATACAAGTTGTGTGCCGTGTAAATTGTGAATCACAACCTTTAAGAGGATATAGGAATGGGTTCCGTTTGTCTGTCATTCACATGTTTTTTTTCGTTTCCGGAGCAGAACTAAAAAAACATAAGATATCTCTTAAGTAAATTTGGCGCACAGATAGGTCTAGTGTTAAACTGGTGCCTTTTGATAATTTTCGGATTTTTCTTAAATTTATTTTTCGAGTTTCAATAGCTACAACTGATTGAACATGGCGGTAGTGCTCTTTTCCTTACACACAACAGGACATGTCATATTGGAGGGGGACATGAGTATGTAAACATGCTTGTTAAATTACAGAGTAAATGAATTTTTATTGAACACTTTTCCAAATAATAAGGTAACAGCTGGTATCATGTGCAGGGCAGGTGCCTTGTGGACGAAGTGCTTCTGGTATCACCTTAAGAGTAAAACAATGCACATATTCCAGACACATTGAGGTGAGCTACAGAGTCCTGAGGATCTTCTTGTTTAATTTGCTGTTTTCAGTCTGCCATTTTCAGTCTTGTAATTCTTGTGACCTGAACTACAGTGTCCATTGGAATGGAGATAGATTATCAGTCCACATATCACAAACAACTGATCATGTCAACAGTATAGATTTAATGGTTGCACAACAATTTGAGAACATCTTTTCCATGTTAAGTAAAAGTACTGTACATTTTAAACTGCAATTACAACCTTGAATACCTCTAAGAACCTACCTAAAAAAATAACTTCTTTGGGCTTCTTTGGACTCTCCCCTCAACAGAGAACATGGTGGTACAAGCTAATGTATGAAATAGCCGGCTATAGTATAACAAAGTTTTGCTTGTGTATTACAGCCTAGCTCAGGGGAAAGGCAATAGGTGATAACAGGCTAGCTCAACATGTTTGCCTCTTATAATGGACCAATGGCTAAAACACTGGTACATGCCTTTCTTTGGCGAACCAGTGAATTCCTTCTGGTTAAGAGTCATAATGTCAACTAACCAGTTCTCATCAGATCACAGTGCTTTTTTTGTTGCATAACCAGTTGTACCGAGTGGCAAATTTAGGTGAATGAAACAACTCTTTTGATCAACTGGTATGAAAAATTGACAGCCTTGTTCAGAAGAAAAACCAGTGCCCTTCAGCGCATCATTTACAGTGCTTTCAGCAAGTCATTTGTACATCAAACTACGAAAGGAAGCACACTGAAAACCAAGAAGATGTGGTATTGTGCAGGTTAGCCAATTGATGATGAATACTGGATAGTGTTGACATTCTGAGCGATATGAGGAAAATGGTGTATACTAGCTGTATCAGGGAGGAGATGGTAAACAAGTCCAGGCCAGCCGGCAGGCAGGCGATAAGTTTTAACACCTGGTAGCTACAAATCACAGCTTAGTAAGAGCATTAACAGTAGGTAAGGTATAACAATCTAAAGGTCACAGTGTTGGTAGTAACAACAAGAAGCCCAAAATATGTTTTTTGTTTTGAGGCATGCAACATAACGAGAACAATGATAAGAGTTTGAATGAATAATAATATCTATAGAAGTGCAATAATTAATACATCAACATAAATAAACTCTTCAATTCGAAGACTTGAAAGGCTCTAAGCAATAACAGAGAAACAATTTATTTCCCTGGTTTCATAAATACTGTGTATTATCAATACATTAATTTACAACTAGTGATAAACAAAACGTTAAAATAATAGTAGTTAAAACATGAGGATATTGGGGACATTGTTTGATCCTGGCAGAATGAGCCTACAGGAAGCTACCATGATTGTGTGAGTGACGCAGAGGAGGGATGAGCAAGATAATCAGCAATGCTGGGAGAGACAGAGAGGACTAGGCAACAACAGGGTGCCCTGCTCAAGCAGAAACAATCAACATCACTATGTGCCTGGCACCATGTTGTATCTAATAACGGTTTCAGGTTATATTTCAGCTGTCAACCAATTCAGCCAGTTGTCTTGCCCATCTAACCACTTGCCACTAGGTTGTCGGCCCTATGCATTGTCTAGGATGGGTGGGGTGGGTCAGGGGTAGGTGGGCGAGTGGACATGGGGATCGACACTCCCCAGGCAGGGGCTAAAAGAGGGGAGGATTGAGACCCACTTGTGATTTCTGTTTAATTTTCATTGCTTAATTTTCATCAGTATCACAATTTCATAATCAATGGTTATTTACATGCATGTTCTCAATGATGTTATTATATTCTTTCTCCTTGAAGGCTTATGTTGATCTCATTTTTTTGGTATTTTTTAAGACTTTTTTCCACCGGACAAGTATATTGAGGGTGATCTCCCACATTAGACGTTCTGCTAGGCCAATCAGGTCGGCCTCAAGGACCTTGCTCGGGACATTTTCGTCGCCACCGCATTCAGAAAGCGAGCCAGAAACAAAACAGGAACATACATACATACCGTAGTCGAGAACAAGACCATACCAAAGTCCACAGGGTCAATCAACATAGTGGATGCTACCAGATACCATGTACACTGACAACAATAAATATTGCAACCAATTATCCACTAGCAAAACCATGTGAAAGAATATCAACACCTGAATGTAAAGTGCCAACCAATCTATATCCAGCCTACAATGGATGACTGAGCTCTGCAGCTGTGACAGGCGAGAAGGCAGGCAGGCAAGCAGGTGGATGGATGGACGGACGGATAGACAGATCCACATCTGCTGCCAGCATACAACCAAACAGAGCTACATCCAACAAGCACTGACTGATGCACTGGCAGCGGACATCAGTATCTGGCTGACCGGCCATCCATACCTCCCATAGTCAACAAACTGACCAATGCTTGAGTTTACACTACTTAGCCACAGCTCCCATCAAAGCAATGGTTCAGTCAGTAAGAGGGAGTGTTGTGATAGCCTCTATCCAGCAAGCCAACCGCCACGTTCTAGCAACAAATCATCAAGTGTTTATAGCTTCCCATATATTAAGTCTCATTCTGTCTGTGTACAATAATTTACAAATCCCAATCCATCGTTCAACAACAACAAAGTAACAGGGTTGCTAAGAGCATAACAAGCATTAAACCTTGTCGTCCATAACCACACTATTTAAAACCAAGTATGACTACATAACTGTAGATATACTCAAACAATGATGGGAAGATAACTCTCCTCGTAAGTCAGTCACCATTGACCAGTCCAAGTTGCAACGACCGGACAGATAGACAGAGCTGGTTGCCAGCCTGGTAGCGACAAAGGAAATGTGCTTAATAATCACCTTGAGTCCAACATGGATGATTTGGTATCAAACATAAAAAAACCACACCTGAAAACATGAGCATGTCAATGGGCAGTGTAGGCAAATGATGAATGATCTCGCTGCAAGCCTTTTTTGCCAACTAGGCACTCAATATGTTACAGCTTGGCTTGCCAAAAGTCAAACACAGTTAGTTGTTTCCGTGGGATGTCATTGTCATATGGCTTCTGAAAGCAAAGGTTGAACCTTCAGCGGTGGTTAGAAAGTAGCCATAGTCTTTGTGTTGCACTTGCTACCATCTTCAGATGAATGGCTGCCTGTCCTGGTGGTCAATAGACAGCCCATTGCCCTCAACTCTTCTCGGACTGTGATTCCACTGCCGTTTATGTTGATACTGCGGCCGACCTATCCATTTCTCTGTTGCTGCTGCAGCTGCTGATGCTGTTGTTGCTGATGATGCTTCACATTACTTCTAGTGGACACCAAATTAGAGCCAATCTTGACAGCATAAAAAACTTTATGAATGCATTATCAACAAATAGTGTGCTGTGGACCCCTGTTAAACTGTTCATGTCGCAAGTCCTCCTGCTCTCATTAGTAAGAAAGGTCCACAAACAAACGACATACATACACATGACGTGTGCCGGTGCTGGCTAGATCTCTAGCCTGTACAGTAGTCTCTTGGACACTGACAATGACGGCAGACATGACCAAGCACATTCCCTCTGTCACACTGGTTGGTTAGCTGTTGAAGAGTGTAGCCACTACAAGCGCCGTGTTGGCTTATTGGCTACCCTCCTTCTTCCCAGATTTGTCAACAAACTCAGACAGGGTGTCTCGAAACCTCGCCCAGGAGCGCTCTGGAATGGTGATGGCAGTGCGGAAATTGTTTCTCACCTGAAACAGACAAAGCATAATTGATGCATCATGGAAAGAGATTCTGTTAATGTGCAAATATATATATATATATATATGTAGGATGAAAGGCTGCATGGTAGGTAAACACATCAACAAGTCCCTGAAATACTCACAAATGGGTGAACTAAAATCATTATGGACATTTCTGAAATCAAAAACACAAATGATTGCTTCAATTTACCTTGCAAACTGTGGCAATTTATCCCTTGCAAGTGATATGTGTCATAAAATGTGAATGTGTCGAGCAACATCAAACTTAAAACAGAGCATGTGTGCATGAGATGTGTGAAAGTGAACACCTTGATGAACAACATGTAGTATGTGTTCTGTAGGAAAGAGGAAGGTCCTGTGATCATGCAAAGCAGGGAAGGGTACTGGGTCTAGTAAGAGGTGGAAGGAACATGAGAGTTAGTCTGTGACTAACGTGTACTGCTATCTACTGAGGACACTCCAACAACATCGCTCCCCTCTGTTCCACTGGAGTATGTCATAGCCACAACTATTGAAACTGTCATAACACCAGAAACCTGTGTGTGCATGTCAGCTAAGATGCATGATGAGACAACTAGAGGTAATAGACAGAGAGAAACAACCCAAATATGGCCTGGTTACCTGAGGGCTTGACCTAGACATGTAATTCCGATCAGGGACAACCTGAAATGAGATTAACAGCTTTTAGCACTCGGTCACAGACTGCGTCTAACTGAGTCCGCATGTTAGCATCATTACCTAGGCTATGTAAGTTACCCATTGGCATGACATTAGTTGGGACTATTGGCTATTAGGGGTTTCGTATCATAGCTGACATGTATACACCGGCTGTGTAGTGGTGCTACTATCAGCTTGTGTTCAGCACATGTAGAGCTAACTGGACCATGTGGACAAAGCAAACATATGACCGAGCTTATGTTAGGAGCAATACAGCAGAATTTCGGAAACAAAAACAACTAAATGAGATGGACTTTCATGCATCTAATAATACTGGCACTGTACACAAAGGCCCAACAATGATGATGAAGACAGCCATCAAATGGTGATGATATGATAAGACTTGTGATGATGCATGATGATACTCAGATAGCATGACTCAATGCAGAGTGACCACAAGGAAATTATATACAGGCATTATAAACACACATGTAACGAATGAACAACCATAACTCTAATCGTTTATCTTCAAGCTGATAATTTAGACAATACTGATCTCAAAAGGTAAGAATATTACTTCATCACGCCTGAGCAACCTTATTTTTGGTCTTTAAGATTTATTGGTCAATATCCATGAGGCAAGAACTACCAGTAAAACCATAAGTTGCAGAACTGACAAATGTAAATCATAAAATGTTTAATTAAGATAAAAAAATAAATCAAAGTTTTATTTGCAAAACATTTGTTTATAACACACATACAGTCTTCAGTAATATTTAATATAACAACACTACTATTAAAAATGGGGGGGTAGAAATGAGCATACTTTGAGAAAATAAACATTTTATTTTTTATTTTTATAATTTTACTTTTGCCTAGTCTATGGTACCCTCATCTGCAAAACAAACAAATGGCCTTCAAGAAGACAAAAAAGAAAAGAAGAAATTCCCATAAAAATTGGCCTAAAGAACTGAATTCACACATGCAGATCACTGCATTACAATAATGATCACAGGAAGCATCTGGACATCAACATGATCTTCCTTGTTTCACTTTGTCATTTCTGCTGTTAAATTTTTCTTAAAATCTGACTAGTCCTGTTTTTTAGATAACTCACTGGCAATGACCAAATCCTTCAATTCATAGAGTTCCAGTTCACTGTCATGACACTGTACAAACAATCAAACATCCAGACTCTGTATCAAGCCTGCATTATGGCCATACATATTCTAGCAGACCCCATCGTGACCATGCCAGCCCAGCCAGCATGTTCGCTTGTCAGAATGAGGTAGGGATCTGGGGACATTTCTTACCTCTGATACACGCATGTACACTCCTCGTCGGTTGGAGCCAACATCAAAATAGAACATTTTGTTTTCTACTCGCATAGACCGAGACTCTGGCAGCTCACTCTGAGGTTCTGAAAAGGAAAACCACTTTGATTTGACAAACACTGTGGGACAAATGTAGAAAACTATCCTTATATGAAATTGTTTTTTCAAGTAACCCTGGTAATGACTATGGGCAATGTTGACCTAGAGTGCACCATGGAGACAGAATATTCAGTTGTTTCTAAGCAGATATAAGTTGCTATTATTCATTTGTTTATGGTGCCCAAGAACCATGACTATCTAACAGCATGTGTTAGCACTAAACATAAGCACACCAGCAATATGCTTAGGAATTGTTCCCTGCACATACTGAATTTCCTCCAAAGGAAAAAAACATCTTATTAGGGTATAACTTCCACTAGTTACAGATTATTCGTATATTCCTAAAAATGTCAATGACAAGTAGTGATTCATTACTGAACATAAACCTGAAATATTATATCCATGCTTTATTTGACACCAGTTAGTAACATAAGTCAAAGACATAGCCTCTTGTACCATTAACCATTGATTTGAGTAACACCAGCATGTAAGAATAAAATCAGAAACAAATGGGACTATTTTTGTCAATAAAAAGCTGTAAAACAGATAACTGATCAATACAGAAACTAAAGAATTGAAAATGTCACATCTTACCATTTTTGTAATACTTACTTCTTTTACAGAAATAGAAATGTATTACACAAATAGATAAATCTATCAGGATACAATACAAAGTAATTCAAAACTTAAGTTACTCATATCAACATTAGTAAGTATCATCCAAGGCAATAAAATGAACTGTAAGAAGTTAGTGAGGTTACTGGTGGAGCTGTTGTGAGTAGGGAGGTACCTGTGTCACAGGAATGATCTCTTACCCTCCTCACCTTGATCGTCAGTACCGTACTCATCCAGGAGCTCAGTGAGTGCATCACGGAACTCAATCATGCCCTGGGCAGGGATCGCTATTTGCGACCGTGGACCTCCACGAGGAATTGTTTGTGAAACCTACAATGCAGATGAGATAGAATTGTGAAGCATTCAGAGGAAATACATGTATGTACCCACCATAGGTAATTGTCAATCAATAACTTGTTAGTGAACATTACCGCATTTCTTTCTTATCAAAGACCAAATTAAACTAACGTTGCAACAGTTTGCCAAGTGTACAGAGGCATGAAGCAGACAGCCCAGTAGTGTTTAAGCAACACAAGAAGTTTTCCTTGGCAGTCACCCATTCATGTATTAACAACACTAAAGACCCATTGTGGACAAATTATCCCCTTTCTCATCACTCACGGACTACTCCAGTAAACATGCAAACTCTTCATTTGCAAATTTTACAGATTCCTAATGTGCATACAAACTGCACTCACTAAAGTAACTGTACACACTAATGTTGTTTCTTTGTTGTTTAATGCCGCACTCAACAATATTACATCTATATGACGGCAATCTGTAAATAATATTAGTCTGACAATCCCGTGATTGAAATCATGAGCATCGATCCACACAAATGGGATACAAGGACATGCCTCAACCAAGTCAGCGAGCCTGACTACCCAATCCCAAAGGTCGCCTCTTACGGCAAGCATGGGTTGCTGAAGACTTATTCTAACCTGGATCTTCATGGGCTGAACAATAGTGTACATTTCCTGCTTACCCTGAGGAATCGGCCTCGTTGGTTCTCCTTGAGGTCAAGGTAGTATCTCTTGTTGTCCTTGACAATCATCTCACTCTTGAGCTTGCCATCTTCAGGCGGGTTCTCTGTGTTTGAAGGGCCTGAAACATATATGCACCTCCAAATTAAAACACTGATACATCACAGATAGGACCTTCTTGTCAGAAAAAAAAAACGTCTGATGAAAGAGTCGGATGCTTCTAAATACCTCAATCCTCACCTCAAATTCAGGAGGATTCTCAATACCAATATTTTCATTTCTAATTAATTGTTACATGTAACAAGAATGTGAAACATGAAACTTACTTATCAATATGCAAACAGAGATAGGGTCTATCGCATGCTATTTGAGCTATCTTTCTTCAGGACCTGATTTAATACCTTCTTTAATTATTTCCTAAAATTGTTATTGCATGACAACATTAATTAACTTAAATGTCTGACTAGCCATTGTCAAACATTAGTTTTTATTGAAATTATATTATCCACTATTTGTGCTCATGTGCCAATCTTCCTTTTCACTAGAAGAAAACAGCCTATTAACTAGCCTTAGTTAAAACAGATTGAGTCATGACACACAAATTGTTCATTCTCCAATGGCAAATGATACAATCATAAAAAGACTTTTGCAGATAAAAAAGAAAAGTACCACAGCCCATAAAGTGTGTAAAAACAGATTTGACACTAAAAGCATTTACCAGTCATTATGAGATTACACGCTTTGTTTATGTCTGATCAGTATGACTCAAACATTTGTCACATAGTTTGCTCAACATTCATAATTCACTGTCTACAAGAACATTTTGAATATATGTGGAAGAAGACTCTAAGCATTCTTTGCTATATACTAAACAGATTCTTCAGATATCTAAGTCAATATCTACAAAGGAATGTGCAATAGGTCCACAACCACAATGTACATCATCTACAAAGATGAAGGATTATGTATTTGTGTATATCAACATGCACAGACACCCAACAAAATTCTAGTATAATCCACCACTGCTAGCACTGTCAAGAGATGCTTGGGTAGGTAGGTGTGAGAGGCAACAGTGGAAGAAGAGGAGCAGTATCTAGACAAGCATGCTTGGTGGGTGGTGTCTGGTCACAATACTGTCATGTCACCAGTGTCTTCAGCACAGGGTCAGACTGTGTATCTAACTCCACATCACTCCCCAGGTTACAACTACACGGGACTCCTGTTATATTCAGGTTCAAAGGACCAGTGGGAAATCTCCGATAACCTTAAGGGTCTTTGGCTACAATATTAATCAAAGGAACTTATATAATATTCAGTCTGTGCCAAAAACTTTCAGTCTACCAGTCCGAACATTTCGGCAGATTTTAGTGTTATCATATTGACTATTAGCAGTTGAACTCACTAGATCTAACCAGAATTGTAATAGACTTGGACTTTGGATTAATTGCTGACTAAATTTTTAATCTTATCATGCTATAATCATGACTTTCCCTCAAAAACTGGATATGAATATATGAGAAGTTACTGTACAGAAGATTTTGAGAACTAACTGTATTAAAAGTTTGAGATAACAAGAGTCACTTGTGGTTGTACAACAAAGGGCACTGCAGTTCTTGATTTGTATTGCTTGGATTACAGTTTTAAATTGGGCAGAAACATGAAAGCAATTCAAGGCTAAATGGTCTAAATGTAAACTGCAAATTTTGATTATGTAGTTTGTGCTCATCGTTTAAATACAAAATCCATTTTTCAAGGTTCCACGTGCAGAAGTCTTGGAACCTGAGTTTGAGATGTGAAAAGGCTACCAAGTTAGTAATAGTTGTATTGTAGCATTTCAACACAAACCATTAAAGGATCTATTTGACCGTGCTGTAACGCAAGTGTACACCTGGACATGTGCCAATACTGGACCAGCAATGGTAACCTGGATCTAGAGAAAACAATGTATGAGACAGGGATCCCTTTAAGAAGGTTAGACATAAAAAGCAGTCTCTGAGTTCTCGCTATCGCTCAACAGAGATCTAAGGACATCCTATTAGGCATCACGCCTGAACGACATTTCATACGACCAATCAGAGCGTCACTTACCAGATTGGGAAAGTGACATTTGGAATGTGTTTTCTAAAAATGCAACCGCAAAAAGGTTAGTACAGAGTATTCAAAAAACAGTTACATGCTGTACGACTGACTCTGTTAATATATTTGTCTATCTCTCGCTAAAATGAGATAAACATTTGAAATGGAAGAGACTTTCCATAGCCTTAGGGAAGCACTGCCATACAAAATCAGACATCTGTTAAGACATTCTAGATTTTTCATTTGTACAGTTTTCCAAATTTTGAATTGATTTTATTTCGAAGTGTAGTCTGAAATGGAAGTCGTTAGTTTGAAATTTGCGCTCAAGAAAGCTGCTTTCTAATTGGTCAGCTTCTTGTTAGTCAAAGTTCGCAAAAGGTCGTTTTGACGTGACCAGTAATAGGAAGTCCTGAGATCTTTGTTTAGCGGTAGTGAGAACTAATGTCTGATTTTAATGAGATCGAGACATAAAGGGAATTTGTGTTAATAGATAGCTATTTTGTTACAAAACACATTAATGATTTATTGCTCAAGAATGTTTTTCTTCTTATCCACATTCATATTAAATATGAATATCTCATATGCCATACATCATTCCTATGTCCAATAGGAAGAAGTTCATAGAATAATTCAAGATGAAAATGCAAAAGATTACTTCAAATATGCAAATCATTACATAAAATAACATATTTGTAAAATTTAGATGACAGCAATGTTAGTAACAAGCATTACATCTATAAAAAAATGAAAAAGAGTAAAATGTATTAATCTAAAGATTTTTCATTTTGTTTCAGTCACAGTAAGTTTTTTTTTCTACTTCAGAAAACTTAATATTTTTATTTGGATTCAAATACAGCAAGCATCAAGCCATGTTATTACAGGACGAGCACAGATGCTAGCATACATTGTTTTCCCAGTGGCTGAGCCGTGCAAGACAATGCAAGATGAGCCTGCAACTACAATGTTAGTAAGGAGGTGGTGGAAGGAGTGAACACAACATAGTTCTTCCATGTTTGTTACGACACTGCCTCTGGTTGCTCTGCATTTGAACTGATAACAAATACACACACTCAGAGAAGTCTACAGCTCAACAGAGCTAGCCAAACTCAAAACATTACATAGTCGCAATTCGGTTTCAGGTGCAAACATTCTCAGGTAGAACACAAAGGTGAGTGTGGGACAATTTTCCCCAATTTTGAAAGTAAAACCAAGCTGCATACAGCCAGTAGCGAGTAGCAAGGACGGAGTGGATGGAGTTAACGGTGACCACGTTGTAGTGAAGATAACATATGGTAGAGAGATATCATAGCAATTTGGTAGTACTTACTCTCATCATTCGCATCTGGAACAAACATGAAAGATTGATTGTACTCAGACAGCCAGGACAGTAACACAAGGTAACCAAGACGACCACAACAAGCAATGCATGTCGGTCGTCCTTATACATAGCACTGGGCATTCTGTTGAGATGTGCGGTCACACCGTTAGATCAATAGTCCACTTTTCTTAAACAAGCCAGAGAATGTATACACATGCAAATTTGGCAACTTTGGAAAGCAGCCTGTAACCTCAACCTTCCAGATTGTCAACAGATATGTAAATCTGAGCTCATATTTATGGTTAGCTCTAATTGCAATCTGAAAGTAACAGAAATGCACTGCAAAGTAATTTTTTTTTTATCTGTTTAGGGAACTAAACCAGAAACAAATAATTTAAGTCTGGCATAGAATATAGCTTACCTAGGTGATTCCGTTTTTCACCAGTCAATCCACAACAAAAAAACAAATGTTTATTCCTTACCTACACATTCCACATGAGAAGAAGGTTCAAACAACATTTCTATTTAAACATTTGGCCCACAACTTTAAAAAATTGAAAAAAAATTGTACTTCTTTCATGTAGGATGATGTTTTGTGTCCTGTACGGTCTGCAACCCACCTAATGATGCATAATGTTCTGTGAACTCCGTGAGATAGTCGCGGAACTCTGCAGCTGAAGACATTGCCAGTAGCAGACGACTCTTCTTGCCACCAGCACCAACCTAAAAAAGAAACACTCATCATCATGATCATCATGTCTGGAAGTTGTTAAAGAAAGCATAATGCTGCACACTACAGATGAACTTGCCTGTGCCAGCCACTGTTACTAATGTGAATACATAATGCTGGTCCAGGAGCAACTAATGTGAATACACAATGCTGGTCCAGGAGCAACTAATGTGAATACACAATGCTGGTCTGGGAGCAACTAATGTGTTTACACAATGCTGGTCCAGGAGCAACTAATGTGAATACACAATGCTGGTCCAGGAGTAACTAATGTGAATACACAATGCTGGTCCAGGAGTAACTAATGTGACTAAACAATGCTGGCCCGGGAGCAACTAATGTGAATACACAATGCTTGTCCGGGAGCAACTAATGTGAATACACAATGCTGGTCCGGGAGCAACTAATGTGAATACATAATGCTGGTCCAGGAGCAACTAATGTGAATACACAATACTGGTCTGGGAGCAACTAATGTGACTACACAATGCTGGTCCAGGAGCAACTAATGTGAATACACAATGCTGGTCCAGGAGTAACTAATGTGAATACACAATGCTGGTCCAGGAGTAACTCATGTGAATACACAATGCTGGTCCAGGAGTAACTAATGTGACTAAACAATGCTGGCCCGGGAGCAACTAATGTGAATACACAATGCTTGTCCGGGAGCAACTAATGTGAATACACAATGCTGGTCCAGGAGAAACTAATGTGAATACACAATGCTGGTCCAGGAGTAACTAATGTGAATACACAATGCTGGTCCAGGAGAAACTAATGTGAATACACAATGCTGGTCCAGGAGTAACTAATGTGAATACACAATGCTGGTCCAGGAGAAACTAATGTGAATACACAATGCTGGTCCAGGAGTAACTAATGTGAATGCACAATGCTGGTCCAGGAGTAACTAATGTGAATACACAATGCTGGCCCGGGAGCAACTAATGTGAATACACAATGCTTGTCCGGGAGCAACTAATGTGAATACACAATGCTGGTCCAGGAGAAACTAATGTGAATACACAATGCTGGTCCAGGAGTAACTAATGTGAATACACAATGCTGGTCCAGGAGAAACTAATGTGAATACACAATGCTGGTCCAGGAGTAACTAATGTGAATACACAATGCTGGTCCAGGAGCAACTAATGTGAATACACAATGCTGGTCCAGGAGAAACTAATGTGAATACACAATGCTGGTCCAGGAGTAACTAATGTGACTAAACAATGCTGGCCCGGGAGCAACTAATGTGAATACACAATGCTTGTCCGGGAGCAACTAATGTGAATACACAATGCTGGTCCAGGAGAAACTAATGTGAATACACAATGCTGGTCCAGGAGTAACTAATGTGAATACACAATGCTGGTCCAGGAGCAACTAATGTGAATACACAATGCTGGTCCGGGAGCAACTAATGTGAATACACAATGCTGGTCCAGGAGCAAATAATGTGAATACACAATGCTGGTCCAGGAGCAACTAATGTGACTACACAATGCTGGTTTAAACTAAGCCGAAAACAGCAATCAGCTGTACACACGTTTTCTTGGAATGTACCTGTGATTCAGTCAAGACACATCCAATGATTTAACAAGGATTTTAATGCAGGGATCGGCAAAAATTTAAACTATTTTTTTTACCGGGAATAATATATTCCAATGTCTTGTTATTTTAGTTGCAGCTTTTACTGAATATATTTAAAATAATTATAACCCTTAGCAAAGCACCTGATCGCTATTGCCGGTTATTATTTTTCACATGGAACCAGTTTGACCAGTCACCCTCGAGGCTTTTAACGAGTCAAAGTATGGCATTTATGATATATGTTATCCATTCTCTGTCAACTAAAGTTAGTTTCAAGGCATCAATAGCGGTAATCTGACCGTAGTTGCTGTTAATAACGGTAAGTTGTGCGATCTTCCGATCGCTTTACACACGATTTCACCGAAATTAATTAAAACCATATTTAAAGTCAAGATATACAAAGAACACTTTTTATAGCCAGACTGTGTAATTATATGATTAATTTGCATACTTCAGTATGAATTTGTTGACACGATATTTCCAGTGTTACGTGCTCACGGTAACGTCTTTCCGTTCGAGGAAAAAAACATCAAAACTCATTGTTGCGTGTATAATGTGCACCTCCTTCTACACAGCTGTGTTGTTGTTTTTTAAAGTGTGCACTATACTCAAGAAAATATGGTAATCCAAGATAACCTTTGTTCATGATATCTGGTTTAACTAACATCAGTAAACATGGCGAGATCCTTTTTTTACATAAAAAAGATACATTGGTGGAGAGTGCAGACCAATGAAAATGTGGGATGCAAAGAAGATATATGAATGTACACATGGGACTCAACAGCAAGGCCACAGCCTTTACCATGTTTACAAGAGGCAAGACATGGATATTTTCATATTATCTGAAAGGGTCCATGATGCGACATACCACTTTTTGTTGAAGTAGTTGTAAGTTAGGCAAGTAATTTAAAAAAAATTCATTTTACCAATTTTAGGTTTGTTCATACTTTGGTGGTCAAATTTTTTGTCTCAAACTTAGTCATCAAATGAACATGTCAGCAGTCAAAATAGATTCCCTTGTTAGAGGATGCAGTAGAGCAGTGGTAGAGTATTATGCGCAGTAAAACCAGAGTAATCAGAAGATGACAAATCCCCCCAGCCCCTACAATAGCGAAAGGACCTCCCTGGTTAAAACATGTACCAAGTTTGGATGACAAATCTTTCACGGTTTCCAAGTTATGCTCCAGAAACTAAACAGAGACAAGCAGACAGACCAGATGATGACTATATCCGCCCTATATTATATGGCAGTGGGGATAAAAAAAACTACATAATATTCTTTCAGGTGAAAGAAAAGTGATAACAAACATGGTCAACACACATGGTGAACAATAATGTGACATTTGCGACAAAACATCACTAGACATGACACTTAAATTGTGTTCAGCGTTCCCTCGCTATTGCCCCCATCAATATAGCACTAACTTGGTGATAGCAAGCGGTATCGCATGGCTCCCCAAATTTATGTACATTTTTAATAAACTAAAGTTTTACACTGACATAATGTTTTATCCACATCACAAAAAAACATTACCAGCTGATCACTGCGAGCCGTAAATACCAATCAATAAATCAATAATTTACTCCTATTATTACACTATCTGGCCATAACAACGTTTGTTGTATATCTGTACTTACGTTTGTAACATATTTTATTAATTTTATTAAAAATTTCTTTCAATATTGTTTACATTAATTTCGGTAAAATCGTGTGCGGGGGGATCGGTAGATCGCCGTTATTTACAGCAACCATGGTCAGATTACCACTATTGACACCTTGAAACAAACTTTAGCTGACAGAGAATGGATATCATAAATGCCATACTTTGACTCATTGAAAGTCATATTTGTTGTAATTGGACTGTTACATGTCAACAAAGTTTTAACAATCGAGACCTCGTAAGCCTCGATGGTGACTGGTCAGCTGTTCTGAAGTGCTACTCTTAGGATTATTATTATCCCCCGCCCAACGAAGTTGGCAGGGGATATAGAAACGGGGCTCCGTCCGTCCGTCACGTTTCGTTTCCGGAGCAAAACTCGGAAACCGTTAAATATTTATTCATGAAACTTTGCAGGTCTGTCAGGTACATGCTCAACTGGTGCCTTTTACTATTTAAAAATCTTGGAAATTTATATTTTTATATTTCCATGGCAACAAGTTGAACTTTAAGAAATTTATAATAATATGAATTCTTCTTTTAAATACCAAAAAATTCAACTTGATACCCATTTAACCTGTTTAACATGTTTAAGGAATCTTATAAGTCATTATAAAGTGTCTTTTTGTGCCTACATTTTGTGTTTGTCATCATTTGGAGGTATCTCCCATAGTAGGGGAAACTGTGTATGCCTTCTACCAAGTTGTCAGTTTGTGCCTCAATAATGGTTGAGGGTAACTTTTGTTTAATGACTTCATTATCAATCCATCATCCCTACTTCTGCATTGATTATGACAGAGATGAGTGTGCGATAAGATGGCATACTAATGAAACTTTTTACAGTTTTTAGCACATGTTGATATGACGACTTTTGTGCTGTAGAATTTTAACATTCACATTTATGATATTGTCTTGTTGGTTTTTTCTCTTATCATATCACATGGTATGACCATATTGTTAAAAAGCCACATCATCATCATCATCATCATATAGGAGAACTTTCCTCATTCACTTGCAAACTCTGTTGGAGCAGCTGCCTCTTAATCAGTATAGGATTGTTATCACTGGGGACTTCGATATGGACCAGTCTGTCCGTGACAACAATGCACTATCCAACCTAATGGAGCAGCTTACATTCGTCCAGTATATCAGCAAACCAACCCACACTCTTGGGGGTACACAAGACTTGATCTTCTGTAAAGAGCCCATCTCAACAGGAGTTCCATACACTGACCATCATCTTGTGTGGGGTGTGACGGAATAGGTGTAGCATATTGAAGTGACTCATTATTTCTTTGTATGTTAATCAATGTGATAATGAACTGAACTTTTTGAATCTTAATATTTTGCATTTATTCTACCATGTCCAAAGCAACATCTTGGGTTTGAACTGGTAATGACCATAGTCACATATCACAAACTACAGTGATCCCTCGCTACAACGCTACCTTCGGGGTCCAAACAATTGATGAGCGTTATAGATGATCAGCGGTTTAACGAAGGTCGAGTTGTAGGTGGTAGATGACCAACAAAACAGTATACATGCTCTGCCTACATAACACGATCTAGGTTGCACATTTCAGAGTTTAAAAAAAGATTAGAATAGAAGTTATTTAAGATTCATAGTGTAAAAAAAGATTTATCGAGTATAATATGCGGTTTCAAAAACAACAACACATCGTATCCCTTCAGGTGAATAAGCAGGTAGATCTATAACAAACTTGGTCAATAAAGCTTGA